TCAAATCATACTACTGATCCAACATCACACCTTCCTGCACCACAAACACCTCGACACTCCATGAAAGAAAAACAACACTCACACTACTTGAGAGATTATCACTGCTACCTGTTTGCTGCTTGCAGTACTGATGTGTCATCTGGTAACAATTCTTCTTCCGTTTCTTATCCTTTATTCTGCCTTTTTATCTTATAAAACATGCTCTCCCAATTATAGAAATTTTTGCTATTCTGTATCTTCTATAATTGAGCCAAAAACATATACTCAAGCTTCTAAAATGGACTGTTGGGTGCAAGCTATGAATTATGAGATTGCAGCTCTTAAGCAAAACCACACTTGGGAGATGACCTTCCTCCTAATAAAAGGGTTGTTGATTGTAAGTGAGTTTATAAGATCAAATTTCATGCTGATGGTAGTATAGAAAGACACAAGGCTCGATTAGTCGTTAAGGGATATACACAACTTGAAGGGGTTGATTATTTTGATACCTTTTCTCTAGTTGCAAAACTCACAACAGTAAGAGTCATCCTTGCCATAGCTGCTGCCAAAAACTGGTTCCTTGAACAGTTAGATGTTAATAACGCTTTTTTGCATGGTGAGCTACATGAAGAAGTCTATGTGAATTTACCCCTGGTATGGCATCTTCCCATCTAAATAAGGTTTGTAAATTGCAAAAGTCTTTGTATGGGTTGAAACAAGCTAGTATACAGTGGTATGCCAAACTCACCACAGCCTTACTACCTCTTAAATTCATCCAATCTTTGGCTGATCATTCTCTCTTCATAAAGAATACAAGGGTATCTTTCACTACTTTATTAATATATGTTAATGACATAGTTCTTGTAGGCAATGATCCTAATAAAATTGAACATGTCAAGACACATTTGGACAATGAGTTTAACATTAAAAATCTAGGATAACTTCGTTATTTTTATGGGGCTTGAAATATCACGTTCTTCATCTAGTATTGTGGTCAATCAGAGGAAATATGCACTAGAAATACTGGCATGCTTGCTGCCAAACCAGTAACCACTCCTATGGAGTCTTCTACCAAACTAAATAGCTCCTTTATCTGACCCTCAGATTTATTGCAGGTTGATTTATCAACTGATATATCTTACAACCACCAGACCAGACTGAGCTTTTGTCACTCAACAACTGAGCCAATATGTTTCTCAACCCCTGGATACTCACACTAGTGCAAAAAAGGCTTTATGTCAGGTATTTTGGGTTTTTTACGTCGCATGTAAGAGTGACGTTAAAACGGGAGACGTAAATTTACGTCGGACCCTTAGCCTGACATAAATTCACGTAAGTTATCGAGACCCGACGTTAATTTACGTTGCATTTACACTAAACAGACGTAAAAAATATCAAAAATTAAAAAATTTGGAGCAAATTTACGTCACGTATTGTTATACGCGACGTAAATTTACGTCGCATATTGGTATACGTGACGTAAATTTACGTCGCATATACCAATATGCGATGTAAATTTACGTCGCGTATACCAATATGCGACGTAAATTTGCTCCTTTTTAAAAAAAATTGGGTTTATTTTGTCTTACAACCAAAACCTGCAAATATATATTATAACCAAACAATCCAGAGGTTCAAGTTTCTTTAGCTATGTAATTAAAAAATATAATATTATATATAATTCAAACTACATAATAAAACAATATAATACAAACAATAACCTACAAACTAAAAGTTAATACAAACTAAAAGTTAGTACAAACTAAAAGTTAGTACAAACTAAGCTACCTAAACTACATAATACACACAATATAATATAAACAATAACCTAAAAAATTAAGTACTATAATTTTTGAACGAAAAACCTTGCCCATTATTCTCTAATTTGTGTGATATCATATTCTGGTAACGGAGATGGATCTTGAAATACCTGAAACATTAATTTGACTCTTGTAAACATGCAACACATGTAAAGTTAAATAAACTTAACTAATGTTGAAAGCAATTACCTCCGATCCAAGAATAAGTTATACCCGCACAAACTATGAATCTCATCCAATACATAACATAGTAACCACATTTAAATGAGTCTGTTTGCTTATTACACTGAAATGATGAATAAAATATAATGTTATTTTCAAAATTTAAATACAAACAATAATTATGGTATTCACTTATTATAATAAGTTTCTAACCTTAGGATAAATGAACTGCAAAGTCTTTGTTCTGGGTTTCCCACTTAGAACATTAGTTATAGACACGATTCTAAATGAAAAAAACCATATATTATTCAATACCTTTTCCATTTTCACTAGCAAATTTCAAAAATTCATCAACTCCCTTTTCGTACCCTTCACTAATACGACGTGCATTCATCCAACTTCGATTCATATTATGTTATAAAGTTTCGTCACTCCTAGAGATTCAAAAATTATATTTAAAAATAAATTAATATACAAACAACAAAGCCCATAAATGGAGTGTGTAAACCGAAAATGCACTCAAACAAAATAATGACATTCCAATAAAAATCCAGTGGAGACATTCATACAATGACGTGATTGAGATCCCCAAAAACAATCACAGATTCAATTTGAACATATATCAGGAGATATAGAACACTAACCTCGAGTAAACACGAAAACGATTTCAAACTCGAATCCAATCGGGGAGAAATGTTAAATTCGTAAAATGAGACACAATGTTGATGTTCTTCACTGCCAAAATGATCGAAAATGGTGTGAAAAGGTAGCTGTCATCGTTGTTCTCATTGTCGTTCTAAAAAACCCTTGTGGCGCGAGATGCGGGAGTGGGTCTGGAAGAGAATAAAAAGAACTTTTTACGTCACACACCCTAGCACGTGACGTAAAAAGCCTCTTTTACATCGCGTGGGGGTGTGTGCGACGTAAACAAGTATCACTTTTTACGTCGCGCACCCCCATGTGACGTAAAAAGTGATACTTTTTACGTCGCGCACCCCCCACATGACGTAAAAAGTATCACTTTTTATGTCGCGTACACCCCACGCGACTTAAAAAGCTCTCTTTTACGTTGCGCTATACCAGGTGAGATGTAAAAGAGGTTTTTAACATCACCTCCTACAATATGTGACGTAAAAGTTTCACCTCTTATTTACAAAATTGTCACCGCGTTTTATTTACGTCGAATATTTTGACATGCGACGACAATTGGGTGACGTAAAATGTCATTTTTGCACTAGTGTCATCATCATGCTGCCATGAGAGTGCTACATTATCTCTGCTAAAGGTCTTCATTTTGCTGCCAACTCATCTCTCATTCCTTCAAGTTTTGCTGATTCTGATTGCGGTTGTTTTATGGAAACTCAAAAATCTATCACCGGATATTGTGTCTTTCTTGGCTCTTCATTAATTTCTTGGAAAACCAAGAAGCAAACCACAGTATCTCAGTCTTCCTCTAAAGATGAATATAGAGCTCTTGCGACTCTGAGTTGTGAGTTGTAGCGACTTTATTATTTACTTACTGATTTAAAATCTTCTAGTGTTGCTCCTATTTCAATTTTTTGTGACAACCAATCCACTATATACCTGACTCATAATCCTACCTTTCATGAACAAACAAAACACATAAAAATTGATTGTCACGTCACTCGTGAGAAAATTCAAAGTGGTCTTATTCATCTGCTGTCAATTCTTTCTTCTGCACAACTAGCTGATATGTTTACTAAGGTCCTTCATCCTAAAGCTTTCATGCACTGTGTCTCCAAGCTAGGATTGTTAGATGTTCATTATCCCACTTGAGAGGGGTATTACCAAATAAATATTTTTTATTGTTAAAATTTGGTACAGTTTTGTCTTATCCCGTGCTTATGTGTATGGTTTGTTACATTTTTTTAATGTACTGATGATTCTTTCATCCTGTTATATATCACCTTTGTCTTTATGTGAATAACAAATGAGATTTTTTTTTCTCTGTAAAACCTACGAATTCTATGATAATAAATATAATTTGTGATTTAAATCTACTTATGTTTTCATAATTCGTATTGCCTAGCTAAGAAATTATGTTTGTTCATTTTGACCTTGTTAGAACTCTCGTACATTGTAATATGAGAGTGCTCCACATATCATGAGCACTCTTGAAGGCGTGCACCTTCTTCTATCCTTTTTTACAGGATGGCATAAGAAAGTTTTTTGCGTTAACAGAGAAAATTTAATCACCATTTTCAATCATGTCTCGCATATCTACGTGAACATATTCAACAATTATTATCTACGTTGTTCCAATAGGCAAGCTTTTCACCTTTAAAGGTCACAGGTGAATAGTTTAATGCATCAAATAACATGTGAACTACAAAGGGCTGATGAATGAATTTCTAAAAACTTTTACAATGTGTTTGAAACCAGTAGAGGATAGACAATTTGATCGTATATTATCTAATACAGCAAAAACAGTATAGTTAAATGCACAATATATAGATTTCTCATGGAACTATTTTATTATATTCATTTTTATAATGCTTGAGCACATCTTTGAATTCAAATCATTAATATACACAATTTAACTTTATTTGTTACCTCAGATCTAATAATAACCACATTCTCTCTAAGAGTTTACCCGAGTTTTATATGAAATTCTTCTTTGTCAACATACCAACCATTGTTTTTTTAATCAGAACGACGTGTAACGACTGTATTAGAAACTTAGTCATAAAGGTGCAATTTGCATCCAAAAAAGTAGGGTCATCCCTTGAAATAATAGCTAAGAATCAACATCAGTTGGAAAATTGAAAGTAAAACGAAGGGAATCCACTTTTGTGGAGAAAAAACAGAGAGCCTTAACATGATAGGTGTCAGCACCGTGAAATTAATAGGCTAAATGGCATTATTGAAAGTTAATTGGATAAGATGGACCAATCTGACTTAAAACACTTTATGCCAGTGATTCTACATATAAATTCCATTTGCAGAAGCATGACCATAAAACATTATAATTATCGTGTCCTTCTCTTAAAGCAGAAGCGTGGGAGCTAACTAGCGAGCATGGATAATATCAATGTTTTGCCACGCATAAGCTCCACAACCATATCGAACACTGAAACTTCTTCACCACTAACACCATTTTCCGCAGTTGCCTCGCATTTTATGGTCCCATTTTCGAAGATACAAGTCCAAATAACATTGGAAACCATCTACGAGGAAGAAGAAGAGGAGGATGAAAATGAAACGGAGAAAAGTTCTGATTCCGATATGCCTACGTCCTCTTCACCACCAATCCTCCCAATTCAAGCAGCTGCGTGTTCGTTTGAAATGACGGGGTTTTTTCTTTTTCTGGTGTCTTTTGGTTATAACTACCAGCGTGCATAGACATAGTGCGTGCTTACTCCTTAGATTCTAATGTAATCCATCATGATGCATCAGAAGATTGAAGTTTCATGTTCATATATATATATATATATATATATATATATATATATATATGTGTGTGTGTGTGTGTGTAGAACTTTGAGTGCGATCTTCCAAGGTAATCTCCTCTGCATGGTTTTCTTATTTTTTTTTTAATTTGGGTGTGGTTCTAGCAAAAAAGATGTCTTCATTTAGTTTTAAACTTTAAGCCAAAGTATGTAGCACAGATGCTTATTTATAGAGCAATGAACCGTTTAAATTAACCTTTTTTTAAAGGTATTTGACTTTTCTAGTAGAACTTCAATTCCAAAATACCTTCACAATGACTAAATGTCGCTTATTCATGTAGGTTCGAATTTTATTATATTTTGTGTATCCATAAATACTGAAACCTATAAGGACTTGCATGATACACCATATTCCATAATCTACCATGGGATGAACCTAAGCTTGTGTAAATACCTTTTCATCTAATGACTCGGTTAATGTGTGAGGTTTCAAGGTTTCAAGAGATTTAATGATACATTATCCTTCCATATGGTTGGAAATAGTACATCGTCTGTGTAATGTAATTTGAATAACTGTTATGAATTAGTTTTATTTTGGAATCTTAATATAGTATCAAAATTAAAATTTAATTTTTTTAATAACTTTTTTAATTAAAAATTATTATTTCGTTATGAATCAATAATATCCTTATATAACTTTTTTTCTATTATTAATTTTAAAAAAATTATCGTTTCGTTATAAATAAAAATACTATCTATCTAGTAAGATAAACTTAGTTTACCAATTAGTTCTATGTGTTGATGAATATAACTAAGATATAAATTTTTCAATAAAATAAATATTCTATAAATAATGAGATAAATATTAGATCTAGAATTTTAGAGAGTACTGAATAGTCACAAATAAAACACGAGGAAATCATATTCTATTAGATTACGATAATTTCTTTCTTTTAAATTATTTAATTTTTCTATTTCTGACTTAAATTCTTGAGACGTGTGATAGTTGGACCGACATGGAATGGAATTTTCAACCAAGTGTGAAAGGTTCCATGGAGCGGGAAAGATGGTCTTGACAGTCTATGGGGGCAATGGCTAATACGACGTGACTACTCGAAGTGACACTCGACAAACAACACATCGTATCACCATAGACCTTCCTCCTCCTTCCAAACGCTATGACGCCCCTCATAGATAAATATTCGCCATTATTGTGGCACGCACTCAAAACAGATTCATTCCTCTGCCAACGCCTTCAGCAACCTCGCAACCTCCTCTGTTCTATTCACCGTTAGAGTTTTGCCAAACTGTGATCGTATGATTTTTCACCTTGCTCGTCAGATTCCTTCTGTGAATTTCTTGTTCCCTTTGCGTTTCTTGTTTCTTGTTGCTCATTGCTGCATTTTGTTTCGTGACTCTGTTCGTTTGGTTAGTGTTACTCGGAAAAAATCGATAGATGGATCCAAGAGGGGATGGAAAGAAATGGAAGATCATATATTAGTTAAAATTTGATAAATCGAAAAGATGGTTGGAAGATATTCGATGACTATGTATTAGTATGGAAACATCGATCGAGAATTGAAATCGAGAATCGAAAGAAAAAAATTCGATGGTTATTGTTGAAGAAAATCGAGAATGAGAATCGAGAATCGAAAGAAGAAGATTCGATGGTTATTGCTAAGGAAAATCGAAAATTGAAATCGATAATCGAAAGAAGAGGATATGATAACTATGTGCTGAGGAAAATTGAGAATCTAAATCGAAAATAGATAAGAGAAGTTCGATGGGGAAGTAAAAAATCGATAATAAGTATTAAGTCAGAATCAGTTTAAAATACTCGATGGTTGAGGTTGAGATCGAGGGAACGATTAAGATATACATGGAACGTGAGAAACAGTTTTCTAAATCGTGGCTAAGTTGGAAATCGAGAAACGATTAACACGCACATGAAACGTGGAAACGGTTTACAAAACTGTAGGCTAAGGTAAAAATCGAGGGACGTGCACATAGAACGTGATAGCAGTTTTTTAACCGCTCTTGAGAAGTTACCTTAAAGAACATCTATAAATAGAACAAACGAAGACGAGGGGGAAATTGACAGAGACAACAGAAACATAAGTGAAAAGTCTACCGGAGAACGACGAAATCATGAAGTTTCTGGCGATCTGGATTTCCATTTTCATTGATTGTCTTTACCGTTTTCTTTACTTTCCCAGGTAATTTAATTTCATGTAATTTACTTTCGTGCAATGCAATTTACATTCGTTTAGTCATTTACATTTATCAATTTTAAGATTATGTCCTTTCAATTCCTTGTCATTTACCTTTATGCAAGTTAAGGTTCTGCAATTTCAATTTCCTACTATTTACAATTCTGCAATTTTGATTTCCTGCTATTTACACTTCTACGATTTCAATTTCCTGCCATTTACACTTAATGCAATTTTAAGATTCTGCATTTACACTTCTCTACAATTCAATGTTTTCTTTACTTTCTCAGTCATCTTTCTACTCGCTGTTCAGTTTGCTTTTAATATAAAAAAAATACAAAAAGAGAATTTTCGATTTCAATATGCAAGCTTTATCACGCTTTCCATGTTTTTAGTATACGTGCATGCTTTGTTGGCAAAATTTGGGTCATGTATATATATGATACATAATTTAAATGTGTTAGGGTCATTATTTATTAAGCCAAATAAAAAAGTTATCTGACTAAATTAAAGTTTTGGCTAAAGGCATATGTCATGAAAATAAAATTGTGTAGAGACCATAGAGCAATTTCTAATTTGATGAGGGATCAAATTGGAAATACTAAAACTTAAGTAATTAACCTAATTCTGGTTATCTAAAGGGTCATGGTCTCCTTCTGGGAGCACACACACAGAACGTAAGTATCAGTCCCGTTCCTTTCTTTCTATCCCCATCAACAGAGAAAATCAAGAGGGAAATACAGGTTCTCTTCAGGTGGAAGACCATATGATCAATATAGTGCTCTACAAAGACATCATCGTTATGGCTAATTCAGGTACGCTTTCGCATTCAGTTTACAGCATGTTTATCAGTATGAGATTACGTTTATGTTTGATCGTTAGAATCAAAATCATGATTATTATTATTAATTTTCCTACAATTGGTATCAGAGCCGTCCATATTTGATTCATGTCTGTTTAATTTATAGAACCCTAATTATAAAAATTAGGATTAATTTTGTTTTAAACAATTCAAATTACCCAATTTTATGAACTCTAAGTGGAGAATAATCTCTAATTTTTGTGAACCCTAAAATTTAAATTTGGGGGTAACATCCCCAATCTGATTCTGCTTGCTGATGGAACCGTGGAGGAAGCTATGGATTCTTCTTCTTCTTTGTTTTTCCCTTTTGTTTCAGTTTAAGTTTCAAGTTTTACTGAGAAAGAAACAGTGTTTCAAATTTCAATTTTTCTTGTATTGGGTTCTCTGTTCTTTTTTTAATCTTTTGTTTTTATTTAATTTTATGGGTTTGGAATTGGGAGTGGTGTTTGTGGAGTTCCCAACACAGAGAATATTAGGTAAATGGTGAATGTTTCAACAGGTGTGACTGTTCTTATTTTTAGGAAAATTTGATGTTAAATTCCCTGTTTAGGGTTTGAGTGATTATTGTTTAATTCCCTTTTAGGGTTTAGAGCAGTATGCTAAAGAGACTCAGAACTATCTCTGTTTCATCCCTAGTGTGATTTTAGGGAGATGTTCATCCTTTATGTATTGGTGGAAAATGAGGTCTTTTTTCATCCTTTGATTTGTTCAAATGAGGTATCCTTAATAAGTTTCTAGGGAGGTGTTCATCCTTAGTAGAATTCTAATGAGGTGATTCTCTTTGGAATTAGTTTGTAAATATTAAATATTTGGTTTTGTTATATAAATAAAATATTCAATTTTTGGTAGTTTAATATTTTTTGTGAGCAAATTGAGTCAAGAAGTCACCAAAGTAACCTCTCTTGAATTGGGCAGTTCATGAAAAATATTGAATGTTAGTGTTTGTGTATATTCATGCGAGTATTAGTCGGCCCAAAGGAAGATTAATATTTGACCGAATTGCATACACACTTGTAATGATATACATGTGATAATTATAAGGATTTGCTTTGTCGATGATAAATCAATCCAAAGACTGGTTTGTTGTTGGACGTGCTTTATTGTCAATGTTTGATTATTACAACAAGATACCTCTAGCAGTTAATATTACTCGTCCAAAGACTTGATATTGATGGTGCATTGGATGTCTTGAGATGGGTTAAACCACTATTTGAATATATATTATTTATTTTTTATATAATGTGAGCATAATTAGTTTATTTCTCGTGTTCTAAATTCAACTACAATTGCTTCTGTATCTGCCAATTTAAATTCTGTTCCGGTCCTCAATGGAACAAATTTTAAGGACTGGAAAGAGAACATTGATATTGTTCTTGGTTGCATGGATATGGATCTTGCGTTAAGGACTGAGCAACCCCCTACTCCTACGGATTCAAGTACCTCTGAACAGAAAAGAGATTATGAGAAGTGGGATCGCTCAAATCGCATGAGTCTAATGATCATTAAGCGCGGCATCCCGGAGGTGTTTAGGGGCACTGTTTCTGAAAACATCACAAGTGTCAAATAATTTCTTGCTGAAATTGAGCAGCGCTTTGCAAAAAGCGATAAGGCGGAGGCAAGCACTCTTCTTCAGAACTTGATCTCCATGAAATATCAAGGCAAAGGAAGTATCAGGGAGTACATTATGAGCATATCTAATATTATTTTTAAACTCAAGGCACTAAAGCTTGAACTCTCAGAAGACTTGCTCATTCATTTGGTGTTGATTTCTCTTCATGCAACGTTTAATCAATTTAAGGTATCTTACAACTGTTAGAAGGATAAATGGTCTCTTAATGAGCTCATTTCACATTGCGTACAAGAAGAGGAAAGACTAAAGCA